GTAGACAAGATCAAGACTACAGGACCAGTCTGATCTTGTACACCTATATATACTAAACTACACAAGAGTACTCAGGGAGCATGAGCCACTAAGAATGATAAGCTATGAAGAATGAAAGAAAGGAATGTCAAAGATAAAGGTACAAAGAATGAAGGGATGGACAAAGGGTAAGAGACCATAGAATGAACAGAGAATGAAGGAGTGGTCAAAGGAATGGAATGATGAAGTAAGGAAGGGTAGTGGTAAGAGTCAGCACACATATAGTCCATAGACAGTGCCTCTGAGGGACAGAAGTCCTGAGTTCCAGTACAGAAGGGTGCAGAACCCTCAGAACTAAAGGTAAGAGAGTAGAGAATTGTAACATCACCCCCCCTCTAAAACCAATTGTCCTGATTAGTGAACATTGGGCTCAGTCAGTAGCTTGGGCATAGGTTGGAACAGTAGGGTTTGGAAATCTGTGAGACAGAGTTGATGCAGAGCACCCAGATGAAGTTGATAGAAGTCTCAGATTGCCTTAGCAGTATGGGTGAGATTCTCAGCAGGTTCCCAAGTGTGTTCTTCAACTAGGTATCCCTTCTAGTAGATAAGGAACTTGAGTTTTCTGTACACCAGCTTGGCATCCACTACATACTCTACTTTGTATTCTGGTTCAGAACCAATGAGTTCTGGTGGAGGTAGTAGGGGTCTTTGTTGTAAAGGAAAACCCAGATCATAGTATTGAGACAGTAGAACCTTGTTAAACACTGGGTGTATGTGCTTCCATGTTGCCAGAAGTTAGAGTTTGTAGGCAGAGGCACTGACCTTCTTTTCAATAACAAAGGGTCTGAAGCACTTGTTGTCCAACTTCTTCATTAGACAATCCATGGTCAGGTTAGTAGCTTCCAGCATAACTTTGTCACCAGGCTGGTAATCCTTGGCCACAGACCTCTTCCAATCATAGTTCTGCTTCATAACCTGTACTGCCTTTTCCAAAAGAGCTTGTGTGTCCTCCCTGGTTCTGTGCATCTGTTCTACAAAGTCTGTTACAGATTCAGAACTGCTGTTCTGGTTCAGAACTGTCCCCTGGTACAGATGTCTCCTATGATTGAGGAAGAACAGGGACTGTCCTGTTGTAGAGTGTTGCCAGTTATTGTGTACAAATTCTGCTAGAGCTAGCCATTCAGACTAATCCAATTACCAATGATTAATGAACATCTGGAGGTAGAGCTCAATCTCCTGATTGACTCACTCAGTTTGACTGTCAGTCTGCAGGTGATAGACAGTGGAAGGGTTCCCTTGAATTCTAAGAAGCACATACAAGTCCTACATGAATTTTGACTTGAATTGTAGTCTGTAATCATGAATGAGCTTCTAAGAGAGTCTGTGCAACTGGAAGATGTGATCCTGATAAATGTGCACCATGCCTTCAGAAGTGAGTTCTGTTTGGGTCAGAACTGTGTGGACTTGCTTAGAGAATTAGTCAACAATTACACAGATAGTATTATAACCCTGAGACTCAGGTAGCTCACCAATCAGGTCCACCAAGACTTCTTCCCAAGGGTGATCCAGAATCCAATACAAATGTAGGGGAGCCTGAACCCTTGTCTGGTGGGCCTTAGTCTGTTGGCACGTATTACAACCAGTCATGTACTTCAGGATTTCCCTCTGTATTCTGGGCCACCAGTAGTTCTGAGTGATGAGTTCCTGCATTTTGTGTCAGCCCAGATGTCCTACAGTCAGATTGTTGTGATGAGCTTAGACAATGTCCTCCTGCAGTTTCCAATCCTTCAGAATGTACAGTTGGCCTTCCCAGTAAACCTGTCCATCCTCATCCTCCTCCCAATCTCTAGCCTGCTTCTCTAGTTACTTCACTACAACCCAGTCCTGTGTGTGTCTTAGAGCTTACTGTATGTGAGTGACAAAGTCAACATCCTCAGATTCGAGTCAGATCTCTTGGATTGTCTTGGACACAAAACAGGAATTGTCTAGGAGAATGAGATTTTTGTTATCATTCTCCCCCCTTTTATGACCTACTTGTCTTGAGAGTAAATCAGCTTTCATCATTTGTATTCCAGGTTTGTAGGTCAGCACAAAGTCAAAGTCCTACAGTTCTAACATCTAGCAGGCTTGACAGTAGTTGAGCTTCTAGGGAGCCTGGAAGTACTAGAGATTAAGGTGATCACTCCAAATCTTGAACTTCTGTACAGCACCAAGGAGATATTAACACTACTCTTCTAGGGAACAGACAATTACAAGGAGTTCCTTGTTATAGATAGGGTAGTTCTGTTCTGTTGCAGAGAGGGATTCCAATCAGAACACTATCAGACACTACTTTCTGTCAATGAACTGGGACAGTACTGCTCCATTTGCAAAGTTGGAAGAATCAGCTTTGACTCAGAACTTGTCTACAACTGTCAGAACTACTAATACAAGCTCACTAGTGATGGCCTACTTGAGGGACTCGAACACAGACTGCTACTGATCATCCTATTACTAAGGAACATCCTTGCTAGTAAGATTGTGAAGGGGCCAGGTAATGGTACTAAAGCCTCAAATGAAGCATTAGTAGTAGTTTGCAAACCTAAGAAACACTTGGACCTGTTTCAGGTTCTAAGGTTGTGGCCAGTTCTGAACTGCAGTCACTTTTGCCAGATCCATACAGACCTCACCTCTACTGATCACAAAGCTCAGATAATCTACTGACTCCTGTGCAAAAGAGTACTTTGCTTCTCAGAGGAACAGTTTATTATCTTGGAGCTGTTGTAGAACTGCTCAGATCAGTTGGTAATAGTGCTCAACTGTCTGGGTGAAGATTAGAATGTTATCCAGATACACACTAATGTGCCCCAAGTCAATCAGATCTGTAAGAATGTGATTCATGAATGACTGGAACATTGTAGGCAAGTTGGTTAGTCTAAAGAACATTACAGTCAGTTTGTACAATCTGCAATTGGTTTGGAATGC